TTTGTGGCTAGTGGTTTGCTATAAATGGCTTAAATTTTCGGTTTACCGTAAACCTGTTCAACACTGCTACCTTCACTTTTACGAATTATATGTTACAAGGTCAGTAGTCTCGTCAATGTTTCTTTGGGCATATAGGATTTGTGATAATTAATTGATTGGGAGATTGACATCATTCCATAATACTCAACAGGATAGTGCCAGTAATCTTAATCATTCCATATAACCCGCCCCTCGATCTAAAACATGTTTAAAAGCACTGGATTTGACATTTTTATGTATCCGAATGCGTTGCATAATACTGGTGTAGTGAGCAGGCTGGTGGTTACTGCTAAGTCTAGGCAGGGTCGACCCTGCTGGAGGGGCTTATCAGTGGCTTCTCGGCTAAATTACTCCCCCCCCCCCAAGATGCACTTCAGCCAGTTGGGGGGGGGGGGGTAATTCGGCTATCTATCTCAAGCAAAAACCATGATTGCACAAAGAGTCACAGCCCTCATTCCCCAGAGGCAAAGGAGCCCCTGGTTACAGCAGCTATAGGATTACTCTGCAGCAGATTATGCTAAAATTCTCCTGTTAAAGACAAGCAGCCCCACAATGATGAATCATGAGAACCGAATCCAACTTACTAGCATTACTTGAACTCTCTAAATTGGACGTTGTAGGCAAAAAACAAAATCCTAAATGATAGATGTACTCTATTGAAGAGGCAAACTCCAGGGTAGCAAACAGGAATTAGGGGTACCAGTGCTTAGAAAGGAACATCGTGGAATTCTATAGTGAGCGAAAGAGTGGCTTCAGTCACAAAATTGAAAAAATAGGTACAACTTAAAGATTGTTCAAGTCTATGCTTCACCCTGCAGCCAGAGTGATGAAGAAATAGTTACAAAGATGTTCATGTAGCCAGCAAGAGTATAAACTCGTTTCACAATTTCAAAGGCATGATATAATAAAAATGTGCAAGTTATTAAGAAAGTAAATATTGGCAGCAACCATAGAATGGTCAGAGGTTAAATTAAATTATACCTCAGCGGCACGATTAGTGTGGGTGGCTACACTTACTACTGGTCGGGCCGCAGCGATGGCCACCATCTCCAGGGAGTAGCCATAGCCATCTCCAGCCGATTTCAACCCTCGGTAGTAGAGGTCACTCCAGTCGATGAGCGTATAATGGTATTGAGACTGAAGCTGTCATTTGGCTTCATGTCTCTTATTGCTGTGTACGCTCCTACGGATGTATATAAACTTGAGGTGAAAGAGATGTTCTACGCCAAACTTGCATCTGTGGCAGACAGTTGTCCTCGGCAAGATATTCGTATTGTTCTGGGCGACTTCAATGCGGTATCCGGATGTGATCGAGCTGGCTACGAGATGTCAGTCGGTCCCCATGACTCAGGAGCTGATGCTGGCAGCGAGAATATCCTCCTTTTCCGTGACTTTGCTAGGTCCCAGAAATTGAGGATCTCTGGCTCCTGGTATCAGCGTTCTGACCCGCATCGCTGGACTTGGTACAGTGATACGGGTAGGGTGGCCAAGGAGATCGACCACATCCTCGTCAGCACTCGGTGGAGGATCCTCCAGATCTGCAGGGTGTATCGGAGCGCCGAGTTCTGTGGAACTGATCATAGGCTACTCTCCTTTGCTGAGGCTATCTCTGGTCGTCTTACAGCACTCGAGGGCTTGACAGACCCTGTTGTTATGTGGGATTCCTTCAAGCGTGAAACGCTTGATGCAGCTCAGGAATCCATTGGTGTACGCCCAAGAGCAAGACAGAATTCCATCTCGCAGGAGACACTAGAAGCCACAGAAGCTTGTCGTGCGGCTCGATTGTCAGGGGATCGCAATTTGCACTGTTCTCTGGCGCGCAGGACTAGGTCACTGTTGAGAAGGGATAAGGAACAGTTTGTCAGTAATCTTGCAGAGGAGGTTGAAAGCCATTTCTTAGTAAATGACCTTCGTCCTGCCTACCAAGCCCTGAGAAAGCTGAACTCCAAGCCCTCCTCACAGACGACGGCAGTCCGCTCAGCAAGTGGCCAGGTAATCTCAGATCCTGATGGGGTGCGTGTGCGTTGGGCTGAGTATTTTGAGCAGCTGTATCAGGTTGATCCACCAACAGTTAACTTGGATGCTGGTAATGTTGAGACTCCTCTGCCAGACCCACCCATCAGCGAGGATCCACCCACCCTGACTGAAGTCAAGGGGGGCGATCTCCAAGCTGAAGAGTGGTAAAGCAGCAGGTGTCTGTGGCATCCCAGCTGAATTGTTAAAGGCTGGTGGAGAACCTATGGCAAGGGGCTTGCATGCAGTCCTGTCTGCCATTTGGCAAACCTGTATTATTCCCCCTGACCTGCTGAGGGTGTGGTCATCCCTCTCTGGAAGGGGAAAGGGGATCGGTGGGACTGCAGCAATCACCGAGGCATTACACTGCTCAGTGTACCAGGCAAGGTACTCGCCCACATCTTACTGAGACGTATCAGAGACCACCTCCTGAGGCACCAAAGACCGGAGAAATCTGGGTTCACTCCTGGTAAGTCCACAATAGACCGCTATCCTGGCGCTTCGAGTCATTGTAGAGCGCCGTCGTGAGTTCGGACGTGGGCTGCTCGCAGCCTACATCGACCTCAAAAAGGCGTTTGATACGGTGCATCGCGAATCACTCTGGGAGATCCTGAGACTGAGAGGAATTCCAACAAGGATTGTTGGGCTAATAGCAAACCTGTATACAGGCACTGAAAGTGCTGTAAAGTGTGGTGGGGGCCTGTCGAGCTTCTTTCCTGTTAGTTCAGGTGTGAGGCAAGGCTGTGTTCTTGCACCAACACTTTTCAACACTTGCATGGATTGGATACTGGGTAGAGCTACTGTCCAAAGTCACACACCGCGCGCGCGCACACACACGCACACACATTCATCCACGCAGAACAGAAGACACTGGAACTTTTCATTAACAGGGTTTGTTGCGGTTGTATTTTCAGGCGTAAAGATATATGACGTATCTCTTTGCCCGTGATTTTGACAGTCGTGATGTGTGACTTGCACATAAATTATTATTTTACATACATTTCTTTTATGGTTCAAGTAAATCTTTGAGGATTGCCATTTGTCGTTTCTCTTCCTTTATTCTCCTATCTATCAATCATCTGCGCTGGTATCAGCCGCCCTTAGACGCCGAAGAGGACGCTTCCTGCCCAGACGCCCGTAAACCGTGACGAAGATTACGAGGACGTCTGTAAGAGCGCGCAGCCGTGAAGGCCCTGGACGAGATCTGCGAAGACGTGCATTGGGCGATTAAGCCGCCGAATTAGGCCTGGACAAGGACTACGAGGAAGTCTAGACGAGTCCGAAGTCAAGGAGGACCTGTGCGAGACCTTCAAGGACGTGTGGATCTCGAGGATGGACTAACAGGTCAAGAACAGCCAAGTTGGGTCACCCCCGAGGCAAATCTAAGTCGCCTCGAGGGCGAGGCGTTAGTAGGTGGCCGAGCAATATACCGTGTACACAAAGGTTTAAAACAACTGTCACGGTGACCTCACCTCGCTCCCCCCACGCTTCCTGCAGCTGGCGTTCCCACTGCAACCCAGCGCAGCCATCATCCCCTATTACTACTACTGCAACCAATGTATAAAGATAGTCAAACAAAACCTTTTACGACAAGGGCACGTTTCTCGACAATTCGACGGCCATCTCCCCAAGTGGTCGCAGGCCTCCATCGTAAAATAAGGCATGCCCCCCAAACAGAACATGGTAGAATCCGAGTTCTTCCATTCAACGAACTTCAACAACGCAACAGGGAACCACGAACTAACCAGGGTCGTCACACGCCTAATTACCGACGCGACCTGACCACTTGGTACATGCATATATACCTCTTGTCTTGTATGCCCTGAAGAAGCAATAAAATGAAAGGGCCTTCAGCATATTCGTGGGTTTCCTTGTACTTCCCATACCTTGACCTGCGGTTCCTGTCGGGGTTGCAGTCCAAGCAGCAATCAGCTCTCGATAACCCCTGATGTCATCTACGATCTTCCTGCAGACGATGTCCCGCGACAGGTTCGATGCTCTTACGTCGGCGTCGCACTTCGCCGACAACTTTATATATTTGGGGTATTTGTTACCGAGAGCGACGCACCCTCCAGAAGGGAATAAATAGAAGGTAGGAAAGATTACGTTTGGCTTTTGGGGTTCGCATGACACCCTGGCTTTGGGAACAAATGCGTACACCCCCCCCCAAAAAAAAAAAATAAAAAAAACAGTACATCGCCAACGAAAGACTACGTCGCATGATCAATATAGGGGGCGAAGGGAAATTAGTTAAGTCGCTCGTTGACGTGTCTGATGCGACATAATGCAATAGTATCAACATAACTCCTCAAGGGAATATTTAATTTAAAAAAAAATCAGAAGTCCAAGGCCAGCTTTAACTCCGATAATACACACTGAAGAAAAGTTATAAAAGCACGCAAGAATGTAAAATACACATGGGCTCTATAAACAGGTAATACTAAGAATATATAAACTATTTCACAAGATTTATAGAGTCAACCGTGGAACTCTTAAAATGGTCATTGTGTACATAACGAAATAACGAGGTCTATGGACTTCAAAGTGACTCAAACCTTTCACCATTAATCACTATACCAACAACCGGCGTACGCTCCGTTTTAATAATTTTACCATCATCTACAGACACTTTCTAAGACACTTTCACGAATGTATAAAAAACAGCCATCTTAGAATTGTCAGAAGCGACAAATAGTTAGTCTGGAATTGTACGGAATTAGGTATTTTCTTCTAGCCTAATTAGGTGCGTTTTGATGAACCACTGTGGGTTAACGAATTTTACTCGTACCTTTTTATCAAGTCCTTATTTTGAAAACGGTATATAGTGTCGTATAGCGGGGAAAAAAATACACAGAGCTACGGCCATGTGAAAATAACAATATTAAAACCAGAAAATATGGAAACGAATACCGTTCCCAGAGCTACTAACATCTGCCTTAAAAGCCTAC